CGATAGCCTAACGGCGCTGCCAGGGCAAAATTTTCAGTTAAAAGTCTACCCAAAATATTTCATGAACCTCGCCGGTGCAACAGAGTTCATGCAGTGTGATGAGAACCTTCAGACCCCGACTTGAGTTAGAAGGAAGAACGGAGCACTTACGGGTTACACTCTTGTGCGATTGTGTTGATCCGTTGAATAAACATTTGCATGTCGTAACAGTCGATTAACTAGGGGCGTTTTCTTCGAAATCGGAGTGCATCGGCCAGAGATGTGAGAAACCAGCAATCTGCATACAAATAAGCCAGACCTGTAAAACGGATGTGCACGCAAAATTCAAATTATGGAACTTGAGTCCAGATGTGGACGAACAGGCAGAACTTTCCGCCGGAGCTTAGTCGGTGAACACAAAAAAAGAAATGTTTCCGGGTCGTTACTTCCTCCAGCCTACCCTTCCCCTCTAAGATTGTTACCTTCAAGATCACCCATTGCTCTGGCGTAGTTGATAGAGCCACCGCCGTCTCCTTAAATAAAGTCGGCCGTGATAGAGCTTGCACGTCAGGTGACAATCCCCAAGCGTGTCCGGTCTCGAGTTCGAGCCGGAGGATGGCAGAAAAGCCGCATACTCCCCAGATTAACGATGTACGTGTCACCGAGGCTGCAGGGCTCCAATGGTCACGACACTGAGCCAGATGAGCTATGCTCAAGTGCTTTTGGTTCAAAATAGTTTTTTTTAAATACTGATGACTCAAAAAGTGACATTTCGGATGCGAGTCCAACAGGATCAAAGCTGCGAAGTCCCGTCCAACTAGAAAACCCTATATTAGGGCACTCTGAAGTCACCAAGTAAACATCCAGGGGCATAAACATCTGTCTGTCTGTCTGTCTGTGTCTGGATTTAACAGCCTGGCCATTTACCTACTGTATATCTGTCCACTACTTCACTGTCTCCACTGCATCTCTACCCCCCCCCCCCCTTTTTTTTTCCCCCTCCTACCTTTAGCTTACGGAGATGGCGTGGACATGATTACTTTTCAATAATATTTTCAAAATGTAAATATTTTTTACGTCTGGACATGGTTTTTGTGATTTCGTTTGATGCTTATCCGTCGCCAGAGATATGGCCTCATGTGTGTGGTATCTTCTTATATATTCATTATTTATTTCATTCATGTTTTTGTGGTTGGGGGGGGGGGGGGGGGCAACTTTGAAATGTAACATTCAGCACTGCGTTACTACCAGAGCAGCATTTCTGAATAAAATGAAATTTGGGGTGCGGGAGAGAATAACATACTATTATGTGTACATATGTAGGTATTAGGGACAAGAGGTGGAGAAAGATAGAGGAGACATAGTAACTTATAAAAGCCACATTTATTTTACAGCTTCACATTATTAGCCTAGTCTGCATAAGGAGAAACGATTATTGCCAGTAAATTGAGTTTTTAGTGCGAACGGCATCCCATAAGGCTTAAGAGGAAGTTACGGAAGGAAGTGTGACTCAGACTGACACATTTCTCACACTCGACCTTCCCGTCTGTTGTGAACAAAGACTGGAGATTCCCGGAGATTCCAAGTTTGTTCACATTAAAACCTGAACAGTCTGGCATTGGAGGGAATTACAGTAATGCAGAAGAGAGAGAGAGAGAGAGAGAGAGAGAGAGAGAGAGAGAGAGAGAGAGAGAGAGAGAGAGAGAGAGAGAGAGAGAGAGAGACGCTTACTGGAAAGTTATAACGAAGTCTTTGCAAAGCTGGTTAAGTGGTATATTTAAAAAGGGAGGAAAAAACATGCTACCTACCCACCTATTTAAGTACCTATCTACTAATACATATACACATCCACCTGTTCATACTTACGCTTGAACGTATCTATGCTTAAAATATACATTATATATACATACATAATACATGCATGCATTCAAAATACATACAAACAGACAGGTCTGCTTTCTGATATGCATGTGCACTTACGTACGTGAGTCTATTTGCTTATACGTGTGACAGAAACACACCTACCGCACATAGTTAAGTCATTGAAGTCTTCAGAAATGACGCTCACATAAGCTGTCATTAAAATACGACGAACTGATTGTATGGTGTGTGTATGTGCGTGCGCGCACGCACACACGCAGAGGAACGAATAGAGAAATTATACGTATATGGTTGGGGGGGAGGGGGGGGGGCATACTGTGAAAATAAATGGTTGAGGACAGATGGAAAACAAGTTTACATAAAAGCTCAAACAGCTGTACAACATACGATCACGTAAGCTGCAGAAACTTCTTCAGAAGGGAAACGCTTTAGTGCATTGGCTAGGCACTTGTCTGCCAACCTTGAAGATCTTGAGTTTCAAATCGGGCCAGGTTAGATTTTTACAACTGGTCGACCCTGCATCCATTCATCATCATCGTGTTGTGTGTGTCGATAAGCGTGGGCTGTCAGGTTTTACCATCTCTCACACGATCATGGTCTGGTCTCATCAATATGGCTAGGCTATCCAGATATTTATGGTCTTCAATTATGCCCCCCCCCCCTCCCCCACACTAATGTTGCCAGTTGAAATCAAGTTTCGAGGAACTGCCCAGGGTGTCTGTACATTAAAATAACACTGCTGGAAAGTAAAAGCACCCATTTAGTGTGGATTGGTCTATACAAATACAAGCCCTCCTTTACTTTCAAAAACAACGTGACACCCCCTCCCCCCCCCCCCCCCCAAAAAAAAATGCAGAAACGGATGGGAGAGTCAGGGTCACTAATGTCTGATTCAGACCAGTGTTGCCACTTTTCTTTGACAAAAAGAGTCAAAAAATATCTAAAAACATCTAAATTTGCGTGGAAAACATTTAGAAAAAACATCCAGATGGAAAGAGTCACAAATTACATAGCAATTGATATGACTTACCCTATAGAATCATGTCCTCATCTTTACTGAAGTCTACCTTACAAGATCCACAGGATAAACTTAGCTTGGATGATGAAGTTGAAGATTCAGATCCAAAATGACTTTGTTATACTTTAGCTGTTTCAGTTTCTTTTAACATCCAGTCAGGGAGCTGATAAGTGGAACAGCCTTTTCCTACTCTTATTAGGCCGGCTTTATTGTCAAGATAGCATTTAGGAGGTCAAATTTCACCCCTTTTCTTGGGTTAGATTTGATAAATTCACTCCAAATGAAAAACGTATAGAATGACATCTACCATCTAAACGTCAAAAACGCCATCTAAATGCAAGGAAAAACATTTAAATTGGATGTACAACATCCAAAGTGGCAAGACTGCTTCAGACCAGGCACAGGCACAGTATTTCTGCTCTCTTTCAGTACTATATTTATAGCCTTGTTTCTTGATAAATTTGAATGAATTTTTTGGGGGGTTATTTGAAGCCCTACTCTGTCTCATGCCAGATGCCGCAATATAGCCCGACCATAAATATGGCCTAATGGCTGAACGCGGTTTCTGGGACCTCTCCACATCGATCCTCATCCACATGGTGGCACATTGTGTCATCTTGTGTGGTGTCCTTGTGGGGTAGAAAGTCAGTCAGTCACTATATTTATTGTTTATATCCATTATAGTAATGGTAGTCCCCTAGCAGATACAGCCTTTGGTTTGTGAAGTGTTGTACATATTATTGTAGGTTTGTATCTGAAAGCAGCAGTCAGCTCTTTTTGTTTGTTTGTTACACTTGAAATAATGAAGAGTTAATTTCTTAAATCGGCTGTGTGTGGGGGGGGGGGGGGGGGGGCGAACGGCACAGATATTACAGCCTAGCTGTCAACCACAGCTCGGTGCCAACCGCCCGTTTAAAGGCACATGCAACAACAACAAAAGGGATCCTGCATCTACCACTGTCGCTAACAGTACATTGCCTTGCATTGCTTTTGTTGCTTTGCTCAACAACAACAAAATCGTCACCTTTAACCAGTGTTCCTGAAGGGGAAACTTTAATTTACTTCTTCTTCTTCGCGTTCACCAGCTGTAAACTCTGGTGGAAAGTTCTGGTTGTTCATCCACTTCTGGACTGCAGTCCTGTTCCAGAACCTGAGTGTTGCATGTGAATCCGTTTTACAGTTGTGCCACATAAATTGGCTTAGCATTACTCGCCACTAAGTAACCCTGAAAAGGACTCTTGCGGTGTTGATGCGATCAAGAAAGACAGACCCAAATACTGTCCTGACCACGACGAAGTCGTCTACCGGCCAGCCAATGGGCGACCCGGTAACCGATGTTAATTGCAGTACACAGAAGTATGCAACCACGATCATCATCATGTGCCCTGCCAACTGGCTTAGGCGCTTATGCGTCTCCACAGATCACAATCCCTGGTTGACTGGAACAGCTCTCTAGATGATATGTCCCTCCATGCCATCGTTTCAGCCAATCCAGCATCATCTCTCTTGGTCTGCCTCTACCCCCTTTTCCACTGATCTTTCCAGTTTTCACTATGTTCTCCAATGTCTCTCTTCTCATTATGTGGCCAAAGAACAGTGTTTGTCTCTTTCTTATTGTTGTATATAGAGATCTACTTTCATTAGCCTCTTTGAAGCAATCATTGTTAGTTACTCTGGCCGTCCAAGGTATTCGTAAAATTCGTCTCAGAAACCACATCTCTGTTGCTAAAATGTTATATAGAACCTGTTCTTCTGTACTGCAGCAAATCTTGGAACAAATTAAGAAGAATTTGGAAGCAACAGAGATGTGGTTTCTGAGACGAATGTTACGAATATCTTCTGTTATATTTATATATAGAGATCTACTTTCATTAGCTTCTTTCAAGCAATCGTTGTTAGTTACTCTGGCCGTCCAAGTTATTTGTAACCTTTGTCTCAGAAACCACATCTCTGTTGCTTCTAAATTCTTCTTTATTTGTTCAGTGACATTCCACGATTCGCTGCAATACAGCAGAACAGGTTCTTTATAACAGTTTAGCACCCTATTTCTGACATTAAATAAGAGCGATTTATTGCATAAGATATTGTAACCATAATATAAACCTTTAATCTTCCTTTCCAGGTTGACATGCCCGTTTTTTTCTACATCGACCCCGAATTTGACGAGGATCCCTATTTGCAAAACGTGGACTCCATCACCCTCTCCTACACGTTCTTTGAGGCACTCGATGGCCTGCAGCTGCCTCTGCCTGGTTATCACCAGCCACACAACACCCCCGTAGTTGCTGCTTCCTAGAAGTTCACTTATATTGTTTTAATGATATTTCTAAGCTGGGGATTGGGCCTCTGGATTGTGACGATCCTAATTTTTACAATTTTGGTGCCTGAATAAACCTAGTTGAATAACCCTGATGTAGATGGTTCCACTGCAGGTGAAGTTGTTCTGTTGTTTTTTGGGTTTTACTTCAAGTGAAGAAAAGAATGAAAGTATATTGATGGTTATTGTGAAGATAAAGCTGAAATGTCTGTGGTGTGCAAGTTGTGAATCACAATGTTATGTCCTCAATTGTGTAGTTTGCTATGTACACCACTTCAATATTTTAAAAATAAATTTCCTTGCATTTCTGTGAAGAGCATATGGTGAGATTGTGAAGTGAAGAAATATTTACAGGAACATCGAAGAAAGAAAAGTAACCAGATATCTGAAGATTCACCAAAACACACATACACACGGGGGGAAAAGAGGGGTAGGGGGCGGAGCTGTAGACAAACCAGATCCAAGTACAGTCTGTTTTCATCTCCTGACACTCCAGCCTTCAGTTTTCAGTTCTCACAGCTGCAGTTGCTCCCACATTTTGGGCAATATGGGAGCTATCTTGATAGTTTGATCTATTGTTGTGACTGCCTTGAGAGCTTAATCTATTGTTGGAGCTTTCCTCCCCATGATAATAATCTGTTGTTGGGACAACCCTGAGAATATTATGTATTATTGGAAATGTCCTGAAAATATCACATGATGTTGTTGGAACTTTCCAAACAGTGTCATTTATTGTTGTAACTAACTTGAAATCATCTATTGATGGATCCTTGTTTGGGTTCCGGATCCCCATTATGGGGAAATCAAGAATAGACCCACTGCCTCCCCAACAAGCATGTCTTAGGAGTTGACCAACTGAGGGCTTCCTTCAAAGTCGGGGAGTACATCTGCCAGAGCGGCAAGAAACAACCAGATGCACACACATAAGCCAGTAAAACGGATGTACAAGCACAACTCAGGCCCTAGCACAAAGCCTAAGTCCAGATGGATGAACAACAAAGACTTTCGGCCGGAGCTTACAGCCGGTGAACAAAGAAGAAGAAGATCTATTGGTGGATCCAACTTGACAGCATTATCTTCTGTCTCCGCCTCTTACCCGCCTCTTACATTATTTTTGAATAGTTGAGTAAAAGATGGAATAATAATAAAACAATATAGATAGTGCCTATCAACACCAGGATCTAGGTTCCACCATCTTCATAAATGTTGATGTAACAATGGTAAATAACTTTGCAGCAGGGATCACAGTAGCAAAAGAATTTCGCATTCACTGGTGTAGGGGAAATGATAACATATGCTTTATGTGTAATTTGCACTGATTAAATAATCTATAAAACAGCTGCTTTATTTTTAATCTGTTTTGATGTTTTTGTTTAAAAATAAATTTTGGAGAAAGTAGCTGGTTGTTATTTGAGGTTTCAACTTCACTACAGGCACAAAACACAATGGATCTAGAGGGGACAACTTTGATGAAAGAACTAAGCCTACGGTGGACCTACATGCAAACTGGCTGAATGGCGGATATACAGTCGTAAAACAAATAACATCTGGTTAGTGGATGGGGTAACGCCAGGCGTGTGGACTCCGTCAGGACATGGCAATGAGTTTGAGGAATTCCCTGGTAACAAGCTTCTCATTTTTGGGGATTTCAATGCACGGAACAGAGCATGGGACAGTATTGGGGAAAATAGACAAGGAAATGCTTTAGCAGAGGCGTTTGTGTATGCAGACGTAGTCTGTATATAGTCTGTATAAATGACGGTAGGCCGACTAGGATGGCAACAAGACATGGTGATGCAGACACAGCTATTGATTTGGTGTTTGTTACCCAGTCAGCAGTGCTGGACACAAAATGGAGTGTCCTGGGTGATCATAGGAGTGACCATATGCCCTGCTCAGTCTTGCTAGGAAGATCAGGGCTGTGAGAACGCAAAAGACTTTCCAGTATGGGAGGCTTTGTTCCATTCTTATATGCCTTTGACATAAGGTATGTAGAGGAACAGCAGAGGATGGGGAAGGAGTAGGAAGGGGGGTGGTAGGATACACTCTTTTAGACAAACTGCACTAGTAATTATCATGACACTGCAGTTGTGAGAAGATGCTACACCCCAGTATGCAGCATGCTTGGCTAGAGACAAGAAGCTAATCCAGGCTACGATATCTCATTAAAAAAAAATTGACTTCTGGTTATGGAGACATTTACAGTTAATGGAAAGCTATTAGAATGTATATAGGATGCTGGACTCCATTTTGATAAAGTGATATTTACACACCTAGCTGACTCAGGTTAGTTAACAGATAACACTTCAGAGGTGCAGGGGAGAAAAAAACATGATCCTAACCTGTGGCAAAGGTATACATTCCTAACATGCATGTTCAGATCCAGGACAGTATGTTAAAACTCTGCTATGGAAAGATGCGTAAAGGATAGAACTATCCTCAGTATGGTGATCCTATATGAAAAGCAATTTATGGCACCGAATGACCAGAAAGGGACTGCAAATGCATGGTATGCTTTTGGCTAGCATTGTCAAAATCACTGCAAAGTGGTCTGGTACCAAACCATGCTCAAAGGATCAAAACAAGTGTTTCAGAATTACAAACCATGCTCCTAAACCACAGACAATGCTGGAGTGGGGAGCCATTTCCTGACAAAGGCTATGTAGGCATTTATATCATCAACTGCAATCATACAGCTTCAAAATTAGCTTGCTATGTTTGGTGAACATTTTAATTAACCCATTCTCAATGTGATGGCTGCACCTGCATCTCTTTGTTGAAGCATATGATGTTATCTTCTGGTACTGGTCACACTGCTACTTGCCAACACCTTTGTTACGACTCAGTGGGTCTGTATGAAATATAGGTGACTGTAGGACCAAACTTTATGATTTTACAAGCCATTATAGGCCTGCAGGCTACCCCCCCCCCCCCTTTTTTCCCCCAAGCTTATGTAATTTAAGAATTAGCATTCATGCTATAACCAAATACCGTGGAACCTCGCTTTACGAGCATAATTCATTCCAGAATGAAACTCGTTAAGCGAAACACTTGTTATGCGAAACAATTTTTCTCATATAAATTATTGTCAAATACGATAATGCGTTCCATGTCGAAAATAATACTCACAAAATGCTATGTATAACGTTTATCCAAAGAAAATTATTTACATGTTGTCAAGGAAAGTGAATCATCTTTATCTTTTCTTCCTCCATAAGCTCTTGGGGTGGTCAGCTCTTGGCTATGCTCTTCCACAAGCTCTTCTATATCACTGTTATCCTCCTACAATCCCATGATAGTGGCCAAAAACACAGTCTCGTTGACTACAGGTTCCACAGGTACTGTCTCGAACCACTGAAAGTCACAAATCGACAACGCTCTCCGACCAAAGCTTCTTTCAAGCAGAAATCAGGGTTCTCTTGGTAACCTCTTCCCCCGCCGTGTCGATCATCTTGAAGCAGGCAACGATGTGGAAGTGATTTTTCCAAAACTCTTTGAGAGTGAGGTTGGTCCCTTCAGTCACCTAAAAACAATGCTTGAAGAGTGCTTTAGTGTAGAGCTTCTTGAAGTTAGAAATAATTTGCTGGTCCATGGGCTGGAGTAACGGAGTGGTGTTGGGAGGCAGAAACTGGATCTCGATGAACTAAAATTTTTCAGGGAGGTCATGTTGTAGGCCTGGAGGATTCATGTACATATATCACAATATAACACAAGTTTGAGAAAATGTGTGATCACAAGCGACACTACGATGTTGCTGGAACGATTGCTAAACACAGACTGGTGTAACATGCACACAATTCGGGACTTCCCCACTCCTCGCCACTCGTTATGCGAAACGTCGCTCGTTAAGCGAGTCATTCTTTTACAATTTGTGTTGCTCGTTATGCGAATTACTCGTTATGAGAGGTGCTCGTTAAGCGAGGTTCTACTGTACATAGTCTCTCTCTATCTCTCTCTCACACACACACAATATTCTCGCACACAACTAGCTGTAACACCACAAAATAACATAAAAGCTGGTATCAAGGCTTTTCATGAAGTTTTTATTTGGGACAGGAAACAAACAAGTGATGACAGAGAACTTGCACAATTAAATAAGAGCAAATAAACAAGTTTCCACAAAATGAAGTACGTGCAACACAGACTGTTCACGCAGTAAAGCAAGAACTATGTTATGTCCACTCAATGAAAGCACAATACACAAACCAAAAATGGACACCAGAAGATTCAGAATTCTTTTACAAAATTTACTAGAAGGATAAACGAAACAGTCGTGACACAATTACAGAGAATCAGTATACACAGTGGTACTTGAGAAATTGGATGGCAGAGTGGTAAGTGTGCATGCTTGCCTGAAGTTGAATCCATGATAATGGCAGTGTTGGAATTTTTCATTCAGTACGGTTCTTGGCTGAGCCCATTTTGGGGGTCAACCCAAAGTTTCTTCTTCTTCGCGTTCACCAGCTGTAAATTCTGGCGGAAGGTTCTGGTTGCTCGTTCACTACTGAACTGCAGTCCTGCTCCAGCAGCTGTGTGTTGCATGTGCATCAGTTTTACAGATCTCATTCTCTTGAATACGGACTGTTGGTTCCTTGCCTCTCCGGCAGATGCACTCCGACTTCTAAGGAAGCTCCCCAATTAGTCGACTCTTACGACATGCTTTTGGGGAGGCAGTGGGTTTATTCTTGTTTTCCCCACAATGGGGCCCCAAAACACATGGGGGAACCCAAAGTTTAAAAATGGGTAGCTGGCAATGTTCTATTCAATATTAACAGGAGGGAAGTGAGATCCAAATACTTCATACCCCTACATTTGAGTACTTTGACCTCTAATTGAAAAAAGCAACAGGCTAGAACCTTAGTCAACAGTTGTGTTTATCTTGATTAGCTCAGAATCTGTAACTGGTGAAAATAACCTACAAATGACAGTTTAGATATAAAAGATTTTAGTACATCTAAACTGTCATGTGACATCATTCTGTGGTGTTTCCTCATTTCTTGATACAAATACAGCATGTCCTTTCTTGTTTGTTGTGCTTTTTGATGGTTCTGCTACTTGTGAGAACAGTTTGATAGTTACATTGTTTAAATGTGCAGTGATTATAAGATGCATTCTCTCTCTCTCCCTCTCCATCTCTCTCTCTCCCTCTCTCTCTCTCTATATATATATATATATATATATATATATATATATATTGTTTTTTTGTTTGACAGTGAAATCCTTAAACCCTTAGAGGGGACATTACCAACCTAAACCTAATGCTAGCCTGGTTACAACATTATTTCTCATGCAATCACAGCTGGTTTCTTTTTAGCCTGGAAAGGAAAAGCAGGTTCCACCAATTTCCAGTGGAATTACTACTTTGGCAGAGCCATTTACAGCAACCACATTCCAATAGACCAAAAATCTCTTCAGGGCTCAGCCAAATTAAACACCAATGCTCTGCTTTAACAGATTTTTTCAAGTTTTGATTCCAAAGGATTAAAAAAACAAACATATTTACGTACATACTAACTACTTTGATTGGAACACATATGCAGGACTAAAAATTCCCCATGAGGGAGTCTTAATTTGAATAGATGATACTGTTTTGGATTACCTGACATGAAATACAACCATTTCCTTATAGTGTAACTGATCACAACATGAAAATGTTAATAAAAAACAGAGAAAAACAAACATACAAATACATTTCTGTTCGTGTAGAAAAGGAAAAGACTAGAAACAGTAATACTTGTCAAAGAAAAAATAAATAAAATTTCACAAGACTGCTCTAGCTTTTACTGATATGCAATGCAAGTATAACATGCTGGTATAACACTGAAGCTTCACACATGGATCATTTGTAGAAAAGTCTAAACAGACAATTTAAGTATTTTTGATTGTTTTAATCATAGTAACATCTGTACACATCATGTGTGAACTTCAGGAGTAAAGGTGAACACAAAACATTGCAAGGTATTCTCATTTCTAGTTTTTAAACAAATATTTATTCCTTCTAAATTGTGTAATGAATCCCTTTGTAAATACATGGGATTAAAAAGTAAAAGTAAAGGACCCTTTTCCACACCTTCCGTTTTAAAAAGAACTTTATAGACAAGAGATTAAAAAATTTCTGTGTTGTTAAGTTACGCAGGAAGTACTCAGACACAGTCCTTGATATTAGCTAAATTAGTAATTAGATAAAACATCTGAGTGAAACAAACTTACACATGACTCAACTGATAGATCCTTTAACAGGGCTATTCAACTAATGACTCATGAATCATTGCCAGTTGTTTTGTATTAGTGATCTTTCTATGCAGAGGCACAAGCCTCTAGTCCATGGGTTCCCAAACTTTTGTGGCCATGGCACCCAGTTTGAGAACCCCTGCTCTAGCCTGTGACGATCCCAGTTTTCAACATTTTGGCTCCTAAGCAAACTTAGTTGAACAGCCCTGGCCGATAGAATAAATGTTGAGAAGCAAATACAGATCTAATGTTAGAATCCCTTCACAAATTTTTATAAACACAACAGTGCTGTAGCAGCTACAAGCAACAGAGATGGCTAGTCAGGCCCCTGATCTCAAGTTTGATTGGAATTACACAGAGAAGAATCTGCCAGCATGTAATATGTGGCACTGGAAGTAATGGAAGATTTGTTATTAACAAATGAATGCTATCACTACTTGTTCCTTGATAAACACTTCAGATAGAACAATAATTATCAATGGGGATAATTTTTTTTTAGCACACACACATCAAAAAGACAAAGTGAACAACACATATTCGTGTCATTATAGAGCAGCTGCTTTGATTCATGCCAGCACAAGGCTGTTACAATGAAAACAAAACAAAATTATTTTTTTATGTTGAATTCTTAACTGGCATATAGTCTTCTTGTCTGCCTTTTAATCCTCAAATAGAGCACAGGCCCTCAACCAACTCATGTCAAGATATCTTACCTTTAACATCAAAGGCAGGTCACACATTGTCTTCCCCATCTTTTTCATCTCTAATTCTCTTTACCATGTATTTTACATAAACAGTGGAGGTAAAGATTTTTTTTTTTTTTTTTTGACCCATGACAAAAAAATTAATGAAAACTTACCTAGGATTTAAATTCAGGTTATTTGGCCATGCGTTTATTTTACAGGTCAACAATGAAACAAAAAACAAAACGAAGTACGATTAAACAATGGTGTAGGTCTGCTCATTATAGCCACAGAAATTGACTGGCAAGAATAGCTGCTGTCCAGCTATAAGCATTTAACGTACACATTACATTTTACAAGACAAATAAAAAAAAGCATGCAGTAACAAAGAGTTTAGTGTATATTGTTATAAAAAAGATTTCACATTAATTCAAGGTGATCAAAAAACCTGGAATGGAATTAATCTACAAGAGACAGATAAAACACTCCTAAACACGAGTTTAAGATCTATAACTGCAACATCCATGTCTGTAAAGACAGGCATGGTGGTCAGGTCAAAAGTCTGATTACATTATGAACATGTCTTACGTGGTCACTTTATATGAATACATGAATCATAAATGAACACATTTGTTTAAAATTCATTGTACCATTTCCTCATGTTATATATTTTTGACACACACACAAAAAAGCATGGTGAAATCTTAATGTTGATAATAGTTAACTGTTAACTGAATGTGGTGTTTTTGTCTGCAACAATGATTTCAGCCAGACTGACTGACAACCAGTGACTTAAGGAGGTGTCACTATTTGGATGCTTATCCAACAGAAGCTTCCTCTTGAAACACCATTCAACCATATCATCATCATTTAGCAGATCCTTTGCAGAACTTCGCTCTCATCACGGTCTGCCTGAAAGAAACTCGATCTCTCAACAGCAATCCCGCCTAATGTGCTTTCATATTCAAGGAGTCACTAATATCCTGTGCCTATCTTCGTGTTGGTCGGCCCCTCCTTCCTGGTACCATGCTTTCTGCTTTTATTTTTCCCCAATCCACCATCGTGCTTGATATGACCAAAATATTTCAGCTTCCGAGATAAGATGTTGTTTATTAGCCAGTATTTCTCCATGTTCAGATCTTTTAAAATGTCAGTATTTCTTCTCTTCTTTGGTCAGCTATATAAAACAGTTACATTAGGTCATCCAATGTTCACAGTCCTAGTTGTAGGTAGATACTATGTTCTATATATGATATGATAGAAGCATGCTACAGATGTTGTTTACACTTGAGGCTAACTTCTAATTTGTAGTGCCAGTTGTCCTGTGGCCTTATTACTTCAGTAACTCCTCATATTCCAGTGATATTTATTCCCCCCTACCCTTTTTTTTTAAACATACATACAACCTACCAAATGATGTATCACCCTCTGCAAAACTGTAACAATGTCTATTGAGAAAAGTGTGTGGTATATGGAATTCTCAAACAGAATTTATAATGATTTTATAAAAAAGTTCTTCTTTTCTTAGTTTTTGCTAGCTGTAAACTCATGCGGATAATTGCACTTGTTCGTCCATTTCTGAACTTTCATCTTGTTACAGAACTTGAATTTTGCAAAAAACAAGTGGTAAATGTTAAATGCATCACTTTTTTGTAGAATGGGTTAAAAGTGTCGAAAGTTTATAGAATGATGAGCAATGGGTTACAGTTTGTAGAATAAGTTCACTGTAAGTTGAAGGTAAAAGGTTGCTCAGCTTCATCCAGTCATCCAATCTTATGTCACAAAATATGATCACAGGGTGTTCAAATGTTACTGTCAGTTCAGTTTAACCCATCAGCAATAAAAAATATGAATGATTCAAAACATGCAGAGAAATCCTACTTTTCATAACAAAAATACTCGCAGTATTATAAAAGCTATCGGGCTAAAGCGAAGAAAAACCACCACTGATCTAGTTTATATATGCTCTACAATGAATAATTTCTATATCTACCTATAAAAGTCTTTTTTTTGTTTGTTTTTTTGCTTGTTTGTTAATTCAGCATCAGTAGACCTGGTAAGAAAACTTGCTTTCTGATGCAGCATGAATAAAAATGTGGATCAAAAACATTAGAGCTAGCAACTAGATTCTCGTATCAGCCTCAATGTTCATATAGTTGTAAAGTAATTTCATTAAAATATTGTGGTATATCATAATGTAAAATACACAACATTAGTACAAACAAGAATTTTAGTTTCCTTCCAACAAACAATAAATTTAATAACAGCAAACACACATTTATGCTGTTCTGTGGAACGGATTTCGTTTTCACTGTTTTCTTAAATACAAACTTACACCATTTGTACCAAGAAAAAAAAAAATGATATAAAAAAAACACAGAATGAACAACTGTTTTTTAGCAGTGTCTGAAAATGTTTGTTTTTTACATTTTACAAGCCATCCACACATGCAATCTTCAAGATGCACACAAACCATTTTTGTTTCCATTTGTAAAGGAATGCTGTTATATACTGGGGGGAAGGGGGAGGGGTTATACATTTTTTTGTTTAGCATTTTGGCTGGTATTTATGACATATCATTTATACGTGGTAGTTTAAAACAAAAACACTTTGAGTATGTTTTCATAGATTGTGACAAACTGGCTGAGTTGTGAACCACTCATGAACACACAGAACACAGATTAAACATTTTGTTAGCATGTCTCTTTAGTATTCCCACAACATAGTGGGGTCTACCTCCTGACCTATGGCCCGGAAGAGTCCATTATGCTCCCCTTTGATGTAACACCCATTTGGGCCCTTGATAGTAAGGATGGACGAGCCTCTTGGTTCCAGTAAGAAGGGAACAGGGCTGTCTCCATCGGCAATAATTGATGCATCTTCTGCTAGTCTCCAGTACTTGTTGTTAGCACCTGAAAGTAATAAAACAGCTGATGTTATAATTTCTTAAATAAGAAAACCAGAAGCTAGACAGACTCAACTGGTCAAGAAATGCCCTGAAAAAGCTGAGTATGTGGACAAAAGGTGAAAATAATAAAGCTCTACTGTAAATGGGTCCGACACAACTCTGTTGTAAACAAGCATCATATAACCATGTCCAAAGCAAACACAAATATTGTGCAGACAAGAGAAGTAAATTACTGTCATCATCATCATCAGTTCTCTTTATGCCTAGTGGCACATGCGACTTCAGATAGGACCGTCCATGCCTTCCTGTCCTGTGCTATCTTCAGTGCAGTTTTCCATGTCAGAGACGCATCACTTAGTTCACTTTCCATTGTTCGTCTCTATGTGGTTTCTCTATTCCCCTCTGGTGACCAAGTGAGAGCAGTTTTACAGTACATTCATTTGTACCCTGACATAGATTAGAGTCAAGAGAAACATTAAATCTTCAAGGCCCAAGCAACGCTGTGAGTGTTGATTGAGAAGTTCCGATTTGCCTAAACAACACTGACAGTGTTGATCGTGTGTCCCGTACATACTGATTTGCAAACGGCTCCGTATTCATTTGTAATGTTCGGAACTACCATTATAGAATTCATGGAAGGTTACTCTAACGTTTTTATTTGCATACAGGTCTTCGTTCGCACACACTTGGGCACAAATTGATCCAATTCATTGTTAGTGTCATTTCCCAGGCAGTGCATTTTTATCTGTTCAACTGGTCATGTTCTGAATATACGCACAGGCTGAAAAATGCGCCTTTCTGAACCTGAAGCTCTGAAAATGTTTCAGTCAGATGTTTTCTAATTGTGATAACGACTAATGATTCAGACAGTGATTTTACACCAGCAGCAGCTGAGTAGTCAGCTGTTCATTCTGGTCAGGTAAACCCAGGAGGACCTATTTCATTTGTGGAGGATGTGATAGTTACCCATAATTGTATCCAAAGGATTGTTTCAGACAGTACCATACTCATACTGTGGCTTGAAATTATTGCGACTACTAATTTGTATACAGCTACAAAGTAAACTTTGTGTGTGTATAGGAGTAAAGGTCCATTTTCCTGCCATCTTGTTTTCTTTGAAATTTTGTTCAGCATCTATAAGAACATAGAGCCTCTGAGTGAGAAAATAACCCAAAAACGTCTCATAAATTTTGAATTTGTTAGGAGACTGATCAAACTTTATAATTTTATTCTCAAATGTGGATATTCATTGCTCTTGTGGCTGCAAAACCATGGTTTTTTGGGTAAAATGTTGTCTTTGTAAACATACCACCTGCTGGATTCTTTTTTTCCTACTAATTTTAACAGTATTCAACAAAAATTTATCATCAGATTCCAAATGTACATTCATTCCTCTTTACAAAAATGTATACTTTTGTAGGGATTAGAAATACATTACATTCGCAATTGCCTTTTTTTTTTAAACAGCACCCCCACTGCCATTTTTAAAAAGGGAAATTAAAATGAGCCAAGTGTCAAAACTCATAGGCCTGAAAGAGTTAACCTTCTGGAGACGGAGCCTTTTTGGGAGTTTCAGTGCCAAAAAGACGAAGCCTTGAGGAGGGGATTCTCTCAGTTTATACACAAAAAATTATTTAAAAAAATAAGACGTTTGATTAACATGTAGAAAACTATATATATTCGTGTTGGAAACTGAATGAGTTAACAGAATACTTATTAATCAAACTGAAATCTCAATATTGATTTCAAATAACTATTCTGATGTGCATAATTTATGCAAGCATTTTTTTTTAACCTTGGGAACAAACATGACTAACCTAAATAATTTGGGTGAATTATTTGATGGATGAAACTAAAGTCCTAATACTTGTGTTTTGGGAAGAAACACCCTTGGAGGCCTTTCCGACACTTCTGACACATGGTTCTACTCATTTTTCTGTCTCCAGTCATGTTCCGGTTGCTATGACACAACAGTCTTTTTCGACATTGTTGGGCACAGGTAACCCCAGAAAAAAATTGATGTAAAATTAACGAACATATCAAACTTTCTCAAAAGTAGTCAATGAATAGTCCACATGTGCAAGAAATGTGAGAAGCAATTTGATTGGCCAATCTCAAGGCGTATTACATAGGGCCGGCCGATCGGCCCAGTCGTCCTTTTGGCTGCTTTGTGTCGGGCCGATATTTTGGCTGCGTCGTCTCCAGATGGTTAAGGCAGTTTTCCTGCCAGATGGTTAAGGCAGTTTTCCTGCCAGATGGTTAAGGCAGTTTTCCTGTGTTTTTCTATGGCTAGTTATTCAAATAGTCTGAGTCTGATTCGTAATGAAATGTATAGCATTAAAATATTCTACAATTTATCAAAAAATTATGAAGACACAAAATCTACTGGATGCAGTTGATGAAACAAAATGCAACTGCATCTCATTCCAGTCTATCCATTATTACAAGCAGGAATATTTTTGTTTGTGAATTAATTGTCTCTGTGAAACTTCAGATGGCGAAAAATATTGGTTGCCAAACTACAGAAGTATTTCAACATGCCAGCTAATAACTTTATGATTATGTCTTAACATACTACAGCCCCACTGCCCACCCTCAAGCATAACTAAAAAAATATCAAATGTACACTACATGGTGCAAAAGTAATTGTAAATAGAAAAATCTGATCTTGAAATAACACATTCTATAAAAATAATCTGCTTGAAAAAACTAGAAACTAAGGATTTCATTTGCTTTTTTACTAATACAACATACTAAAGTCTATTCATTGAGTTTACTGTGCCACTGTCAAATTTATTCACATCTAATAAGGGAATGAGGAGGGGAAATCAGGAAGGGTACAGGAATAAATGAGTGCAGAAAGGTTGAGAGCTGAGTGTCTGAGACGAAGCACATTAAATACGAGTGATGTTAACAACTGTCCTGAAAGGTCATGCTCTAATTGTGGAAGACTTTTCGGCTATCTTCTGAAAAACGGTCCAACCTTATCAAAATTATCGAGGCAGAAAATATACCCTAACAGGGCCTCAGTCACAGGTCAATTGCGCACTTCCGGCGACTTCTTCTTCTTCTTCTTCACGCTCACCAGCTGTAAACTCTGGCGGAAGGTTCTGGTTGCTCATCCACTACTGAACTGCAGTCCTGATCCAGAACCTGAGTGTTGCGTTTGCATCAGTTTTACAGATCTCATTCTCTTGAATACAGACTGTTGGTTCCTTGCCTCTCCGGCAGATGCACTCTGACTTCAAAGGAAGCTCCCCAATTAGTTGACTCCTACGACATGCTTTTGGGGAGGCAGTGGGTCTATTCTTGTTTTCCCCACACGGGGGTTCCAGCGACTTGAATTGGGCACTTCCGCCACCATCGAGAGTATCACCAATGCCGCTCACGCGGCGTGGATTAGGGCTAAACTAGATGGCTGGGACTCACAAGCAGCATCTACCGCATTTCCTGCAGCTGCCTTGATTTTATTCGTAAGTCCCAGCCAATACTCTCAGGGGGGAGGGGGCGGTATAGTCTCCTGAAGTTAGTAATTTGGTGGTGGGGGTATAGTCCCCGGAAGTGTGCAATTGACACGAGACTGAGGCCCTGTTAGGGTGTATTTTCTGCCTCGATAATTTGGGACCGTTATTCAGAAGATAGCCGACTTTTCTTGAGGTGGGCAGGTCTTATTAGTCACACTCCTTATGCCTCTCCATAGTATAGTACTATCCTCTGTATAAGGTGCCAGTCATCAGGGAATGACAATCCACAACTGTTTTCTTGGTGCATACATACACATGAGTGCTCATTATCCGTTAAGACAGTTTTGATAAGCATTTGCATTTTTAGCTTCAAATGCCCACTATCTTTGAAACAATAATCAAATTTATATAGAAAATAATTCGGTTGTTAACTCTTTCTCTCACAGGAATGTATATAGTAAATAATTTAGAAAGTAACTCCTTCTGTTCCATGCAGTTTTACTTTAATATGTTCTGCACTTTTAAGTGTACTAAGTAAGTAAAGGTAAGGGACCCTTCTTGGGCATACAGGGCTAAACCTATATTTCATAGACCGGTCAGCACTTGGTGGATGAAGTGGTCAGCATCACGCCGGCCGCCTTTACGTCCCGGATCTTGTACCTGGTGCCCACTCAAGGCTGGGTTGACCTGAGAGCCAAGGTCTCCCACTTAGGAGTACTACGTGAAAATATCAAGTGTTTATGGAAAAGATATAGGACCATGCCAGTGCTCACCAGATGTTTAATAGGTTAGTTGCATATCCTTTACAGGACGCTGCAGAACGAACCCCAGCAGCCTCTGGCTGTTGTGTGGTTTCTTTAGGCAAATTTACATCCAGTAGTTTGCCATTGCTTTCTGGACGGTCAGCTTCTTGATACTACTGTCGAAATCAACGCAAGGCGCATGGTAGCTGGGATCGAACCCAGCACCCCGGCATTACAAGGCGTTTGCATTGATTTAGCCACAGAACCGATAGATGTTTAATTCTATACTATATTTTTTGTGACCAATTGGCACTCGACCTGACATGTGTTCAACATCACAACAGCCATCTTTACTTCTCAGGACTTTACCTGGTAGCATTTTCAGCCGTGGGGCCATGGTGGTGCAGCAGCTATACTATGCCTGTTGTCTTGAAGAATGTAAGTTCAAATCCACATCAAGTCAAATTTTTTTTTTGTTCTTCTTCTTCTATGTATTTGGTTTCGTGTGCTCTGATCAGACCATCTATGAATTTGCATATCAGTAGCAGGTCCTAGCTTGCTATTCACACTTTGCTCTTGAGGCCAGGTGTCTTTTTAAAGTTGTATGTAGAGTGGGCAGGTCTTCAAAACGTGCTCAGGTGTTTGTGGTCCTCTTTGACAGGCACACTGTGGGGACTACAATTTTCATTTTATGCATGTGGTAGTTGAGCCTGCAGTGTCCTGTTTGTATACAGAAAATTGTTGTATGTTGCTTTCTGTTGAGTTTGCTGATGGGGTCTTGTGGATCATGGATCTTTACTGTTAGCTTGTTCTCTCCACAATTCCTTGTATTTTCCCTTGATAAGTGTTCTAATTTCTGGTAACGACAATGGATGGGTGCATTGTTTCGCCTTTGTTCCATTTTTTGCAAGTCTGTCTGCTAACTCATTTCCTAATATGTCGCACTGAGCCGGGATCCACTGGAGAACAATCTGATTGTTTTCTACGAGTCTGTTTAGCTGGTGGGTCAGTTCTCTCTCCATGGTGTCTCATGGATCCCTCTGAGTCGCCTGGGGGACTGACATGCAGTCACAAAGGAAAACAATTTTGCTGTTTTTTATTTTCCTTTCCTCAAGCACTTTGGGGGAATCAATAATTGCTTGCTACTCTGCTCTGAAGTTTGTTGAGAAGTTTTCCGGAGGCGCATGACGTTTCTACTGTGGTCCCGTCTTGCAGCATGATGACTGATCCAGCTCCTCCGCTTTTTTCCTGCTCCCTTTAATGATCCATCGGTGTATACGTGTGTCCATTCAGGTTTTGGTTAACAGTTGTAGACATGTTCAAGGATCTTTGCATGCAGTATTTTTTTGGGTTCAAAAATGCCCTTGGTTGCCAAGTCTACCCAGTCTAAAATGGTTATCAAGGAAAATTTTGGGAAGTAAAGGTGACCAGCATGATTTAGGCCACATCAATCATCAAGAGCCAATTGATCTATAAATTTTTGATTCAAAAATGCCCTTGGTTGCCAGGTCTACCCAGTCTAAAATGGTTATCAAGGAAAATTTTTGGAAGTAAAGGTGACCAGCATGATTTAGGCCACATCAATCATCAAGAGCCAATTGATCTATAAAAATACAAGACTAGCCTCATATGCCCAGTGTGCCCCTGAAATGAAAGGGGTCATTTACTTTTTCTTTACTATTTTTAACTGGGTTGACCTGGTAGCCAAGGTCATAGATTTTTTTGGAGGAAATGACTCGGTTCGAATTCAAACCTAAGAACTTCAGATAAGCATGTGAGCAATTAGCTGCTACACCACCACAACTCCCTGTACATTTTTAAGTCTCACTTGTTACACAATAGACACTGAGGGTCAGGAGCAATTAAACTGACAATTCTGATAACATGGGCTAATGTAAGAGGTATCTATGAAAGACAGGAGCAAACAGAGTATAATATTATCCCTTATTGATCATACAGGCAAGCATAGAAACTCTGCAACATCAATAATCTTCATAAATGAGTCATACATAATCATTCTGCCAACACTAGAAACTCGAGTTAAAAAAAAATAACAAGGGGGCTAAGTGGTCTTGATACATGGCATCTGCCTTGAGTGCCGGATGTTCCAGGTTCAGGCGCCGGTGAAGGCTGGGATTTTTTTCACATGCAATTTTAGTAATTTTCTCTAGTCTCTGAGTTGTAAGATTGGACGCTGTGTGTAAAAAAAAAATCTATTGGCAGTTTGAAATCGGAAAGAGTAGACTAACAGCACTGCCCTGGCAAAATTTGGAGTTTAACATCCTCCCAAAGCATTTCAGGATCCATGCCGGCACTACAGAGTTCGTGCACTGTGTTGAGATTCTTTGGACTCAGGTTGAGTTAGAAGTAGAATGAACCACTTATGGGTTACTACTCTTGTGCCATGATGTTGATCCGTTGTCTAAACTGAAACCAAATATTAAATTTGGAGTACTGTGAGTTATTTCGTACCTTCCCATATAGGGTCGGGGCCCTATTCTGGGGAGGGAAAAAAGGGGGGGGGGGAATAAACCCACTGCCTCCTTACACACAGTCGCCGTGGCCGAGCGGCTAGACGCTCGCCGCGGATCGGAAGGTCGTGGGTTCGCTCCCTGGCAGAGCTGGACTTTTTTCAAAAATGACCTTGGCTCCCAGGTCAACCCAGCCTTGAGTGGGTACTGGGTGCAGTCCCGGGAAAGTAAAGGCGGCCGGCGTGATACTGACCACATCACCCATCTTGTGCCGATTGGTCTATAAAAATATAGGTCTAGCCCTATATGCCCTATACGCCTTAAGGCGTGGGAAAGGGTCCTTTACTTTTTTTTTTTTACTCCTTACACACATGCCATAAAAGATAACTAATTAGAAGTTTACTGAAATCAGACATGCTGGGCCAAAAGAGGCATATATTGCAGCCTAGTAGTAAACCACAACACAATGTGCCAACCACGCTTTTAAGAGCAAATATAGAAGTTTCATTTACACAGAGATAAATACAAAAGTATCTCTAAGGAATTTCGCTTTTTATAAATAATTATCCCTTAATGATGACGCAGGCACATCAATAATCTTTACAAATGAGTCATACATATTCATTCAGCCCCCTTTATAATTTTCTTGGGGGTAAGTGGCTCTGGAGGGGCTTAGGCATTGTTTAAGCTTGCAATTATAATAATAACAAATGCTAAATCGCAATAATATATTTTAAATAATAGCCAATCTTTATATAAACATCTAAAAAAAACTTCTACACACGGCGGGGGGGGGGGGGGGGGGGGGGGGGGTAAGTGCTCCCTTGCAGATTTTTAGGAGTGGGAGCCCCCCGTGTGGGTTCCGGGGCCCCATTGTGGGGAAAACAAGAATAGACCCACTGCCTCCCCAAAAGCATGTCGTAAGAGTCGACTAATTGGGGAGCTTCCTTTGAAGTCGGAGTGCATCTGCCAGAGAGGCAAGGAACCAACAGTCTGTATTCAGGAGAGTGAGATCTGTAAAACTGATGCACACGCAACACTCAGGTTCTGGAGCAGGACTGCGGTTCAGTAGTGGACGACCAACCAGAACTTTCCGCCAGAGTGTACAGCTGGTGAACGTGAAGAAGAAGAAGAAGGAGTGGGAGCTCAAGGTGCCTGAGCCCCAAAGGTTCCGGCCCCTGTAACCAGGCATGATAATGGTCTCTGCTAAGGGCTTTTTGTTCTTTTAAATGTTTAGGGCCTTGCCAGCTTGGGTGTTGGTTTCTATGCCTAGTTAGTACATGGGCTTAAGATGAATCATTTTGAGTTTAATTCAGCACGCCTCAACTGAAACATGGCAGGTCTTTTATCTCATCTATTTGGATGTTTATTTTTAATTCAATATAGGACAGCCAATGGGGACACACTGTCCATTAGCACTGCTGCAGTTTGGCCTGAGGAGATGCTTTTTTTTTTAAATCAGAAGGATATGAGGGACTGACTTGTCATTTATCCTAAACATTGTCTATTTACAGCACTAACTCCCCTTTCCCCTACATACATAAATTAAAAGATAGCTTTTCCAATAAATGAGTTTCCCAAAATGGAATGGAAGATAATGTGGTCTTTCAACAAACATGATAAAAGTCTAAGAAGAGCTGCCGCAGTAACAAGGAGAGATACATTTTTAAATGATGAAAACAGAAGACCAGGAATGAAATCCATCAAACAATTAATTAAAGAACAATGGATGAAATGGTTTAACCATCTTGGAAATGACACAAGAAGAAAGGTGAAGATAAAGTGGGTGATTGAAACTTGAAGCAAAGAACCAACAGTCTAGACACAAGTAATCGATATTTGTGAAACTGGTGTGCATGCAGCTTTCAAGCCCTGGAACAAGACAAAAGTCCAGAAGTGGATGAACACCCCAGACTTTCTGATGAGTTTACAGCTGGTGAATGCTAAAAAGAAGAAGAAGCCCTGCTTTAAGCTGCATAAGTCAAATAAATTTTAACTGTATCTTACCTTTCAGGAAATAATGTCCATCGTTACTAGTTTCCACAAAAATAACTTCGTAATTGGTCTTGCTGCACTGCACCTCAGCTTTTGCTGTCGATTTCAGCCCCACAAACCCATGCTCATTCTTCAGCAAAAGTAGAGGCCGGTTGATAATTTTGATGTAGAACTTTTCTTTGTTGGTAACAGTATCACTGACTCCCACCAGCTGACCAGTCTGGCGACTCTGAATATAGTGTCCATTGTGAGCCTTCACAGCAACTGTTCCATCTCCAATCCAGTCTACTGTAAACTGGGCATTAGGGTTTCTGTGGTAATAAATATGTATATTGTTTTTAGTTATATATATATATACACACACACACAAACACACATCATTTATATCTAATGAAATATAATTTAAAAAATAGGTTTATTTGTCCTTCACTCAAATAAAAACGGTCTTTTTTCTTCTGATTCTTTGTGCTGACCGCTGTTAACTGCAGCGGAAAGTTCTAGTTGTTCGTCAACTTCTGGACTGCAGTCCTGTTTCAGAACCTGAGTGTTGTGTATGCATCCGTTTTACAGTTCTGACTCTGTGTGCAGACTGTTGGTTCTTTGCCTCTCAGGCAAATGCACTCCGACTTCGAAGGAAGCTCCCAATTAGTTGACTCTTATGACATGCTTTTGTGTAGGCAGTGGGTCCATTCTTGTTTTCCCTATAATAGGGCCCCAAAACCCACACGGGAAAGTCTTTTGTTAAATTTATTTTTTAAATTCCTCTGCTCAACTATTTTGTCTGCCCTGGAGCTAAAGACTAGAAGGGTTCCAAAGATAAAAAGCATGGCATTAATGAAATAGTTCTCCTTTTCACTGCTAATTACCATATATGAAAAATTAAACTACATTACTTAAGCTTCAGGTTGGTCTGGCAAATAAGACTGCGTTAATCTTGAGTAAAATAACACTTTAACTAAGACAAAACAATACAGACAATTGACAAGAAATTGTTTTTTAAATATTTTCTTTAAGCTTGTGAGTCTTTTAGCATCTTCTTATTTTGTTTCTATATCTTCTTCTTTTGTTGTCTCACTGACATCAGGTTGTAGCCCAGTGTTGTGGTTTTCTGTATTTGTCTTGAGCTTCTCAGGTGGCTTGGGTTTGATCATCTTTTTTCCAGGTTTCAGCAACACTGTTTATCCATCTCTTTCTTGGTCTTCCCCTTGCCTTCCTCCCAGATGTGTTGTTGTAATAAATCTTTTATGACGTCTGGCTGCATTCTCACTAGATGGTCCAACCATTCTCTAGGATAATCTACAAAGACACTGCAGTTACTTACGATCTGTCTCTTGCTGTGGCTTGGATTCCCCCTAGTGGTTCCTGTGTCCAGTAGGTATTGTCCACTGTTCTAAATGCCCACTTTGCTGGTACACCATCAGACTGAGGCACAACGAGCTCCATCTGAAAGATCTCCCGATCTGTATCTTCAGCTTCATCTTGGTTTGCTGTCACATCCACACCTTCAAATACAAGAGATGACAATTAACTAAAAAAAAAAAAAAGAAAGATTAAAAGCTAGTAAGTCAGCAAGCAGTAGACATGAATACAAACAGGAAAATAACATAGAGAGATGGACACATAGCAGTCTCAAAGTGTGCAACCAGGGCTGATAGGTGAAGTGTTAGAGACCCATTACTGTGAACCTTTATTTTAGGGATTCTGAGGCTGCGTTAGCGCAATTGATAGGAGACTTGCTTTCAAATCCAGCTGCGACTCGCTGTAGCCCACAGTCGGTGTTTGAAACCAACCGGTTTTAGGGGTTCACCCAGCCTCTAGGAAATGGGTGCCAGTGTTGACACTCTGGAGTAAATGGAGGAATGTCGCTGTAGCTATGGAGTTACGTGCGGACAGCGATACAGACGGACAGTTTCTTATTTCTACTGGCAGAGCACTTATGTTTTATAACCCTGTGCAATGATGCTGGTTCACGTCTCCCTACTTTACCTTTACCTTTTTATTTTGGGGATGACACCTGATTTATTTATAGTATGGATTTACTTGTTTTAAACTATTATATTGTATTATATTATATTATACTATATTATATTATTTTATATATTATAAAATTACATGTTGAGCTTAAGTGGGAAATATTTTCACCATTTTTCAAGGCAGTTTTAGATTAAAATGTCGGCTCTGTGGCTAAGTTGATGCGAACACGCTTCGTAATGCCGGGTTCGATCTCAGCTGCAGGCCATGCGCCTTGCTTTGGTTTCGACAGTGGTATCAAGAGAGCAGACCGTCCAGAAAGTAATGGCAAACAACTGGACGTAAATTTGCCTAGAAAAACCGCACAACAGCCAAGAGCTGTTGGGGTTGGTTCTGCAACATCCTGTAAAGGATACACAACTAACCTTTTAGATCAAAATAACAAATATGAGTTGCCAGCTGTAGGAGGACAAACATCACACTGCAGCAAGCACAACAGGTGGCTTTTTAGAAGAAGTCCCCTTTCATCCTCTCTATCCTAACGTTGTTATGTGGACATATCCACCCGGGCCACGACTCAGTGGAGTTTAGAGACAAGCTGGGTAACATCATCAGTCAAGGAGATACCAGCGGGGTGTTTAAAGGGTAATGATGGGGCGTGTAGTACTGGGTTCGAAGGTAGGTAGGTAGGAAGTTGTACCCCACTAGGACATCACACAAGCAATAAGGTGACACAAAGTGCCACCATGTGAATAAAGATCACCATTGAGAGGTCCCAGAAACCCCTTTCAGGCGTTAGGCTATATATGCGCCCCGGCTATATCCGGGGCCCCCTGCAGAAGCCAGGGTGGGGCTTTAAATAACAAAAAATTATATGCCAAATTAAGGGTTCGAAGTCGCTTTAGGAATTTTTATATTTGATCAACGGCTCCCTAGTCCAGTGGTTCTCAAAAGGGGGTGCCGCAAGCATATGCCAGGGTTGCCTCCGCAGTAATCAAGAATGTTTCAAAATCTGCTTGAGATCAGCGAAGACAGCAGTTTAAAACAGAAATACCGTGAAGGAAGCCAACAAGGGTTCTTGATACAGGTGTATTCATAAAAGAATGCTATTGACAAGGCTACAGATACAAGAGCAAACTTTCTGGATCATGTGATTCGAGGGTACAATTGACTAAACTTTCGATAAACATAACAGAAATAATAAAAAATTCATTCAAACAGTTTCATTCATAGCATAAAAGACAAATGAACATTAAATTTGCACTGTTTTTCTTCTTTTCCTAAGTATTTAAACCGCTTTAAGAGTAGGTGTGCCGCAAAATATTTTTTTTTTTGCCCGACAAGGGTGCCGCGGCGAAATAAGTTTGAGAACCGGTGCCCTAGTCGACCCCAGTGCTGTCTTAACGCATACGTCATAAGCCCACTGGTTACTTGCACGGGGGCCCCCGAATATAAGGGCCCTATGCTAATCTGTGTATGTAAAATGACAATGTACATGTCATTCCTGCTAGTGGTTGTCGCACGGACCCCTGTACACTTATTTGCTCATGGGCCCATAATGTTAGGACGGCTCAGAAGAGAGAGAGAGAGAGAGAGAGAGAGAGAGAGAGAGAGAGAGAGAGAGAGAGAGAGAGAGAGAGAGAGAGAGAGAGAGAGAGAGAGAGAGAGACAGACAGACAGACAGACAGACAGACAGACAGACAGACAGACAGACAGACAGACAGACAGACAGACAGACAGACAGACAGACAGACAGACAGACAGACAGAGGGGGGGGGCACCAACGTCTTGTAAGTGCTTAAGGCATCGAAGAATCTTAATCCGACTCTGCTCATCACCCATCGTGTGCTGCCTGTTCTCTAAAATATGAGACAAGCATCATATGTCCGATGTCTTAAAAGTGTGAACAATGTCTTTACTGGTTCCTTGTGGCAATAGGCGATAAGAGCCTCCTGGCTACACTTGCCAAGGTGCGGTAGTCCTTAACTTTCCGGTGTAATACTTAACTATGTGCTCTGACATGTTAATATGACCCCGACTTCCATAGTCCCAAATGAGAAGACGGGATTAGTCATCTAAACACGCGGGAATAACAGTCCGCTAACAGCACCCACGTGTATTTGCATACCAGTTCTCTGGCGTTAGAAGTTCAATTCGCCCCCTGTTCATGTCAACATCGCCAAGGATTACCCAGGCCTGTTTGTTTTTCCAAGCCGCTGTGTCCCCACACACACACACACACACACACACACACACGGGCTCAGGGAGAACGTGAGGAGGAGATAAAATGTTCTCCCACACACACATAATTATCTCCTTTTTTGGACCCATCCTTCGCTGTCCCCACTTACTGCACAAGATTGACCCAGCACGCCTCTTGTAGTGACAGATGCACAAAGCCAAGAATCGTCAACACAGGAGCCCTTTTGTCAATGTTGACTGTACTTCCTCTAGACATCCATGTCGTCTGCGAGCCAAGCGCGGTAAATAGTGGCTAGCAAAGATTGTCAAAAATTACTTGTCCCAAAAATGTTTTTGTTTGGTCTATATATATTTACCCGTGATTGTCAGGCGTCAGCGGTTGTGCTGTTTCCAGCGCTGCTTGATTGAAGATGAAGGTTACGTTTGACAGAGAAATTATCAGATGTCACTAGGCGGTGTTCGCGTCAAATCGCAACCAATAAAAACCATGTTTAAAAAAAAAATTGTCGGCATATCACTAACTAAACCCCCCCCCCCCCCTCGTGGATTTCGGGGCTCCATGGAAAAAGGGGGGAGGGTAGAACCATTGCCCTCCTAATAAGATGGTTGTAGAAGGCGACTTGTTAAAGGTCTCTTTAGTAAAACTAATGTTGTTCTCCCCAAACAAAGTAGGTTACGTTTCATTGATAAGTTTGTTGGGCTGGTCTACTTTACTATAGGTTACGGGTGTGCCGATATCAACGGCATTGCGGAAAATTATAAACTAATATGAAACACTGCAGATGCCTTATAAGAAATCAAATCTGCCCTAACGATTGTAAACGACCTATATAAAGCAAAACGTGATGTTACTGATATCACCAGAAACAGGTAAATTACATTTATATTTAATTATTCTGGAAGTTAAGCCGGTCAACAAATACCCGATAAAGCTGGGTGTGTCAGCCGACAGGTGCAAGTCTCGCAGCTCTGCTGTAAACAGGCACAACGCAATTACATGACTCGGATGAACGAAACGAAGAAGAAGACAAAATATTTATTATAAAGTTTAATGGTGCCCAAAATGACAAAAATAGTAATAACGAAACCTAGCATTCATGTTGTAAGAGGCGACAAAGTCACGTTGGTTGGTGTAAGCCAGGATACTTCATTCAGCAGAGAATGTTAGCTGCAAACCCTAATTATGAGACTGTCTTAAAGCGGACTGGTATGCGTTGTTCTCCAGTTAATGATATATTATACACAGCAATAAGCACATGACAACAGAACACATGCTGGGAGTAGATTGCCCTACTCTAGAAAAGAAACACGTCAGCTATGAAACAGTACATCACAAAAACGTTGATTAGCATACGCGATGTTAATGTATCTTAAGACAGAATAATGGTATCATAGAATAAATCACTTTAAATACCCACAAAGACGAAATGCACATTATTAACATTATCAGTGTTTAAAAACACATTAAAATATTCTACACCTGACAATCTATACTCCTACGATGGTATATTAACTATGCAAATTTTAAATAACCAAATATAATTGATGGGCGTAAATATCCATCATAGAAAAAAAAAATATACTTTCAATTATAACCTGGATAGGTTGAACAGGTTTTTGATGTTTAAATCACAACTTAATTCTGCTGCAGCAGCTGCTAATACTGCTACTATTTCTTATGCTGCTGGTACTACTACTACTACTGCTGCTGCTGCTGCTGCTGCTGCTGCTGCTGCTGCTGCTGCTGCTGCTGCTGCTGCTGCTACTGCTACTGCTACTACTACTACTACTACTACTACTACTACTACTACTACTACGTGTTTTGCGGGTGTGTGCTTAACTAGGAGGAGGAGGAGAAGAAGAAGAATCTCAATTGTAATCGTTGTACATATTATTTTTATGAAAACTATCCCTATCCCAGTTAGTCAACTCCTACGACCTCGCTCAACAGTATATCCCAGCTTTATTGGAACACCACCAAATGATTGCAAGGAGTCGCCTTAACACATCGAATCTCAATCGTTGCAGAAATAAAACCGTCAGAAACTGCTAAATCTGGCCACCAACAGACAAACAACTACAGGCCAGGTTTCTCTGTTTAACGACTCAGCAACAATAATGCTGATAGTTTATATTATTCTTTCGCCCAGCTGCCAGCGCTTCGTGCTGTATCATTTATACCCGACGATTTCTTGTGCACAATATAGGCGTAAAAGTTGCTTACTTCAGATTTAAGTCAAGTCTCCCCCCCCCCCCCCCCGTGTGGGTTTCGTGGCCCAATTGTGGGAAAACAAGAATAGATCCACTGCCTCCCCAACAAGCATGTCTT